CAACACTTTATTGAAACAGTTTCCCTCAGTTCTTGTGAAACTAATACGTAATTCTGAAGGCATCTGTGACTCCCTGTTCCAAACTCTCATCCCAAGACAATAATTAGCAAAGTATTGAACTCCTAGCAGCCTGGGCCATATTGTGAGTATTTTTCAGGTATAATGATACTGTAAGGCCAGAGCACAAGACAGTGTTGGTGGTGCATGAGGACTGTGCACAAAATGACCTCAGTGATTTTGAAGCCAGGACACCATGGACTGGTGTGTGCAGCAAGGAGATTTTGCAGTCACTCACAGACATTTCTTACAGCTTCTATTCCCAAAGTGACACTAGGTCATACGTGGGGTTTGAGCTGTTGGGTAACTTGCTTGCTGAGGGCACTAGTGTGTAAGCAAGGGACTTCTCTTGTTTCCAGTCAGCTGCAAAGCACTGGCCCTTCTTTCTGTGTGATGCTGGGGTCAAGAGTAGCAGGTGCTCCCAATACTTCTGGTGTGGTGTGCCCTAATTGAAGTGGAATGGGAAGACAAGTGATGAAAAAAAAAATCTTGCGTCTGTCTTTTTGCTGAGGTCCTTCTGTTAGCTGCCAGGGATTCCTTGGTAGTAACTTTAAATACATTAAAGTATTAAGCCACACTGTGTCAAATACTATGATTCTCTTTTGATCCACAGACCACTGGCTTTTTCCAGTTAGAGGACCTAATATAAAACATATGAAAACAGAAAATAAATCCTGCTCTCATCAGGTGGAATTAGATTAATGTTTCCTTTTTAGGAAATTCCAGATGGTCTACGGAAAGGTTTTCCCTGATACACTGATAATAAAGATTCAACACCTTCTGCTCTCTTTGAAAATATACTCTCTTGAAATTCATTCTGCCATTTTACTCCTTAATGAATAGAAGCAAATTTTCTGAAGACAAGGAAGAACTTCCTGCTGCTGATTTTGTATGGAATACTTAAATTTTATAAAACTATTTTAACATGCATGGCTTAAGATACATTTGTTCTGTACTAATCAAGGCTTTCATAGTCCAGCCTTCTGTATTTTTTTCTACACAGGTTATCAGAGCATGAAAATGAGTTCTGATTAACCTTCTGTCAGGTACTGCAGGAGTAAGAGCAAGCAAAAACAGGACAGAAAATTCCAACAGTTCTCCTGAGTTATATGACAAAACAAAATCTGGGTGGGTGGTTTTCTTCAAGCCTGTAGTTTGAAAAGATAGGCAAAGTTCACAGGGGGCAGAGGAAAAAAATCAACCAGAAAAAAAAAAAAAAAGAAAGAAAACAATATGAATGCTGACTTTCAGAGAGCTGTGCCTCAGGGAACTAACACCTTTTCAATAAGCCTTTAATCGGACATGCAGCTTTCCAGCACAGAAACTGAACATCATTACCAAGCAAAGTTTCCTTTGTGTCAAATCTGTGCCAACACAATAGTAAACACAGTGAATGCAAGTTAAAAAGAATGAAAATCTTCATTATTACAATTAAATTAATGGAGAAGAGAAAGTAAATACTCCATATTTCAGTCAAATAATATTAGGAAGTGAAGCAGTAAACAAATCAGGGTAAGTATTTCACTTTTCACTAATAATAGTATGACCTTAAAAAATCATATTTTTCAACATCTGTGAGAATTGTTTTCCTAACAAACACTTCCAACTAGATGTGAAACAAGGTAGCTGCTGATTTCCAAAGACAAATAACTGTATTTTTAATTTATGTTGCCACAGAATCCTTTATTGCAGTAAAACACAAAGCATGTTCTTGACTTCTTTCAAATCAGACAGCAGCTGACAGCCCCTACTGTTGTAGGTTTAAAAACTTACTTTTTTGTCTGTCTTGTCCCCAAGGAAATGTTTTGTTTCAGAGTGTGCATATGCCTTTGAAAATGTACCTTCAGCAATATAATAGCTGGAATGGTGTTATTCATCCTTGGATTCAAGGATTCCACTCCAAAACTGTTACCCAAAGTTACCAGGCTATATCGCATGCGGTTTCAAGTGAAAGCCATTCAGTTTTCCAGTAATTGGAAAGTACAGTGAAGTTTAAAGAAACAGCTGCTTTTAAAAATTACCTTTCAAACCTCACTCACACAGGGTCTGCTACTTGTTAACATTCAATTCAAGGCAAAATTATCTGTGCTTCCTTTGGCACAGAAGCTAATCCTCATGCGTCGTTTGCATGGGAAGGCAGCCAGACCCGAAGCGCAGACAAAACTCTGCAAGTATCCCCGGAGCGAGGGTTTGCAGGACACCTGGCCCTGCGCCTTTCTTAGCAGCGCCATAAATCTTCTGGAACCCATCAACATAGGGGAGGCTGAGGCTGAGCTTTACTGCTTCTATTTCCTATCTCATCGCAGTCTTTCAGCCAGAAGATGTGTCTGCCAAGGTGTACATAGAGGGAGCTGGTGTCGTTCCAGGAGTGAGTTTGTGCTATTGAATTCTGTCAGCACTGCAGCTTCACTCAGATAAAAATGTTACCGAAGTCAATAATCTTGCAAGGACTTGCAAAAGCTGTGTGATTTGCTGTTTGGTTTGGTTTTGTGTAAGGATGAGGCGGGTTTTAGGACAATATTCAAATGGAACCATCATTAATTATTTTTCAAGTAACTATTACATTGTGTAGAGAAATTAACTCTTAAACCCATCACAGCTGGTTTTATTTTTAGATTTTTAAGGAGCACATTTAAACCTAACACAGCTGGAAGATTTTTCCACTGATTTAATGTGCACAAACTCAGACTCTTAGTATCTGAGAAGAGAATCAAGAGAAAGACATACTCAGTTGAAAGAGAATTAAGTATGCAGTATCTTCCTTCCTAAATGTAATTTTTTTCTGGGCTTGCTTCTCCGTTGTGGGAGTTAAGACCGTGCAGATTTTCCTTGCTGCATGAGTTTTGGTTGTTAATGACAAGAGCCACAGACATCAGAGGAACTTGTACTGTCAATTTTTATTTCCATTTCAGCCCTATCAACTGTCAGTGAAAGCTGAGAGTCTTATCTAGATTTGACTATGTCAGGCTAATACCTGTGAAACCAAGTGAAGAGGGAAGAGCAGGGTCAAAGTTTGTATGGGGCTGGAATAAATGGCTATGGTTTCATAGCCATTTAACGCTGGCAAAAGAGAATACACAGGATGGGTTTTCCTTAAATTGGATGAACAGTACCTGCATCAGTTCCACCACAGCATTTGTAATACATGTCACCAAATCCTGGAATTGGCTTAGAAATTGTGAGGAAGTGTAATTTTTTTCTTGCTTGTGATTTTGCTAGTACAGTTAAATAGTTTTAGTGAGAGATTTGCTTTCCAAAATACAAAACACTTTTTTTGTTCTCCAAGTGTTCATTTAAAGCAGACAGATTAGCTTATGTACAGCAATTACTTCCTGAACAATAAATAGCAGAAATGTGCTTCCTAATGGATCTCCTATTCATCCTTCCCAAAGTATTTTAAGTAGATAACTAACACTGGGTGATTAAAAGTATCTTCAGTCTCTTTAATTGTACAGCCTATAATTTTTCATAGTAATTTGATTAATTTTATCTGAAGCTGTTCAACACATATCTTTGTAACAATTTAATTTGCATGCCTGGTTGGTACCGCCTTCCCTTGGTTTCCTTCATTTTGTGAGATGTTCAATTAGTCACAAGTCTGAACAGACAGATTCAGGCAGACTCACAGCTTGGAGTACTCCTTGCTCACTGAAATCCTTTACAGGACTTAGAAAGCACAGTATCCTTAGGGCTAAACCTCCAGTGCAGCTGCACAGCCCTCAATTTATAGATAGCACACCAAAAAAGGAGTGATTCCATGGTCATTACTTCCTAGCAAAAGGAGGTAAACATCCATGAGGATGGAGGGATCTGTTAGCCATGTGTATCTTTTTCCACAGCTTTGCAGAAGGCTCAGGATATTAACATCCCTGTTCTCCCCATCATGGGCTTCTGTGTGTTCTCTGCAAAAGCCCAGCCTCTCACTATGCCTGGTAAGCTGTGGTAGTTTTATGGACAGGGCGCTGCATGAATCTGAAACTGTGGGTTTGGCTCAGCAGAATTGACTTCTAAGTAATGACTGTATTCTAATGTCTTACATGAAAAGATGCAGTCGGATAGCTTTCGTTTAATAAAATGTTTAAGGAGTAAGCTGATTAGATATTAGCACACTTTTTCTGATAAAATTTCTAGGTGAATGCAAATGAGAAGTATTTCATATGGTAACCTATCTCCATTGTTGCTGTATAAATGTTTTAGCAGAAATACTCGTAATAAGAACATATATCCTAAGTGATTGTCAGTTTGATAACAGTTCTAATTCAAATCATGTAGAACAATGGACCATGCTCTGTATTTAGCTTGGCACAAGGCTCCAGCGAGAATAAGGTGGACAGAAGTATTTTCATGTTGTTGCTGTGCTGTCTGAATTCTGGGCTAGATTGGGTCTGCTCGCTCTAGGCCACAAAGCTCAAGGGTCTAAAGTCATAACTGGATCAAATTCAGAATCCATATAAGAAAAATAAAACTTAGCAGAACTTGGCACTAATGTACACTGCTTTTGTCATGGGGTCAAAAGTCACTTTTGGTTATATTTTTGATAACTCTTTGTGATGAACTGTGTTGCCCAGAGAAGAAACGTCTGTTTATGCCTGGGAAAACGAATTGTTCCAGCCATGATTCTCCAAAAATGTCATATATTCTCTGCCAGCTCCTGCATTCCCCAGACCTTCAATACTCATAAATCATTTCAATAAATCTTATTCCTGCTGGCTTTATTTGATTTTTCTGTATTGGAATGTATCATAGTGCATAAATGTTGTGCCATTTCTTTGTCCAGTGGTCATTTTCTCTCTGCTTTAAAAAAATCTGTGAATTTGGTTTTTCTCTTCCATTAGATCATGTAGGGAAGCATTTGGATCCTCCTTAAGTGTCATAATTGCATTTTTTCAAAGTTCCTTTATCACATTAGTTTCTACACTCATTTCTTTCCATGTTATTTCTAGTCCAGCCTTTCAGAATGACCAAAGCTCGAAGTATCAATGAAGGAGATTCTGAAGAGGATTGAGAGAAACAGTAGCCAAGAAACTAGCCAGGCTTCCAGTGAAGAGACTGAATTACCAGCCTCCAGTAGTGAGAGACACTTCTCTTGGACATTTTAAATGTTTGCAGGGAGCAAACATTGGGGTATTTTATTTGTCATCTCCAAAAGTCTCTTTGCAACTAGATTGCTTTCTTTTAATTTTTAGCAGTTCATGACTATTCTGATGACGACTGAAGACATAATATAGAAAAAAAAAATATAAGGTTCTTTTTTACAGTGCATTTTGTTCACAACAAAGGGTGCCATGGATTGTACACCCTAGGGCACCCTATAACAAGTTGTGTAAGAAGTCTGTGGCATGGCCTAGAAGCAGATTAAATTGTTTCTGTGGCTTTTTTTTCCTTTTGGCAAGAGATGTATGAAATTCTCAGCTGGTAGAGATCCAAAAACTGAGCATTGTCAGCAAAAAGATAGATGTAAGTAGCTGAAGCCTTCATTTACCAACCCAGATTGTGCAACTTTGCTAAGTCAGAGGACTGAGTTAGTGTGAGGTCTATGACGTAGAAAGAATTATTGGAACTTTTTTACTTTCAAGTGCTGATAATATTTCTGATAGAGTCCAAGACCAAATTCAGAACATGTTCTGATGCAACATCACCACCACCAAAATAACCCAAACTTCCGAGAGAATGCATGAGTGGCACTGTGACTTGCACACAAATGGCTGTCAGCAGATTTGATTCAAATTTCATTCTCAGTTATGTAGCTGAATTTAGAGATCCATCGCCACTTTGACACACACTCTTCTGCGCTGGTTCCTGCTGGCAGTCCCTCCTGGTTCCAGAAGTACACAGTGGGATTGCCTCTTGCCCTAGGGACACTCAGGCTGTGGATGTGGGCTGGTTTTCAGGAACTGAATCTGTAGTGGTCAGCTGACTCCTTTCTGATCCTTTCATTGATACTGCAGTCCGCTGCACATGGCATCACATCCACATGACAGATCTGGAACAGAGCTGGCTTCCCTGCTATCATTAACTTTGGTTCATCACGATGCTTCAGCGACCTGCCAAGCTCTCCAGTAGTAATGGGATAAATATAACCAGCTGAAGCAACAACACGAGTGTAAGCAGCAACTTTATCTTGCCATTTCAACTTTACACTTTGGAAAAGGAATGACTGTTCTGAACAACTATCACAGCAGTTGCTGATATTAGCCTGAGCTGTTGATGGTGACAGGGTTTCCAAAGGAGACTTACGGCATCCCAGTGGATTCACATTTTATATACGTCAGCTTGTAAATGGTTGGAACTTCCTTTTGGCATTACAAGGGATCAGCAGTAAAGAAGCTACATAAGCCAATTTCTCTCTTGTAGTTGATGCAATTAACTTTGCAGACAGCCACGCCCAAAGTACACATTTAATGCTTTCAGTGCTAGGTTTCCTTATTCATTTTAATGGAACATCTTTCTTGGGTTTGTCCAGGATTTATATTGATACAAATAAAGGACACCAAATCAGGTTCCTAGAAGTGACCATCAAAGAACTCAATGCTGAAAAACAAGGGCTAAATACTTATCCCCACTGCTGTAAACCCAAACAAATACCAACAAATCAAAATTATTTAGTTTGACAGGAAACTATGATACCTAACACAGAATATATATAGCCTTCAGCACTCACTGTGGTAAATCTCAACTGACTTCACTTGAGGGACAGAGAGCAAAATGTGTCCCCTGTATCTTTAAAAGACCAGCAGCCTTAGAATGGCAAATTAGCCTTAGTCTGCAGTCTGTATGTTAAATGAATGACATTTTATCATACCTCCTCTACGAGTGCCAATAGTAGGGGTAGATATAGGGTGTACCTGTGCTTCTCATTAGTCACTTGAGGATGACACCTTCTATGTTGTGCTTGCTACCATTGTATATTAATCTACTTTACAGTTTTATGTCAAATACTTTTTTGAAATCCAAGTAGATTATGTCAATTAATCACTTTGCACAGTCTGTGTTCCTTGTGATCTCATCTCTTATTAATATCTTAAGGATCTTGCCTACCACCAAGGTCAAACTGGTCTATAATTTCCTAGCTCCACCCCAGGCCTTTTTAAAGAGGGTTATGTTTGTGTTAAGGTGTCCTTCAGTAGCTGCTTCATTTTCGGAATGCTATTAAGAATCTCTAATCTGGTTTGAATGGCTTTGATTTCTAAAGTTTTCTAGAAATACTGAAAATGTGGCTTATAGTTGCTTCAGTTGGCCCTTTTTGGTGTTAAACCTGGACTCTTCACTGCTAGAATCTGTCCACATCTGGCACCGTCTCATCTTCTTTCTACACAGAAAGTAGCTCACTTCAGTTTTCATTTACCTCTTTTTAGTGTAAGGTTTCTAGCTGCAAGTCAAAAAACCTTCATCCTTGTTTTTGGTTTTTTTTTCCCTGCTTCTGTGAACATGTTGATTCTTTTCGTGTTCAAAGTGTAGGCAACATACAGGATTGCTTGGGCTATACAAATATTCTTGATTAGATTCTGCTCTTCAGGAGCGGAAATAAAAAAAAAACCCAACTTCTATTAATAACTGTTTAGCTCTAATTGTATCCCATTTATATATCTCTTTATATATCCATCAAGTTTGATGGATATCAATCTTTATATTCTCTTTATATATGCATCAAGTTTGAAAGAAATTCATTAGAGGCCAGACCATTTTACTTTGAAGCCTTCAACACATCCCAAGCATAGCAATGGAATCTAAACAGCAGAAAGAAAGCAAAATTGCAGCACAGTAAACAACTATATACAGATTACAGGCTAAAGCTGATTGAGATGAGGAAAAGTTATCAGACAGAAATGATATTTTAGTACATTCTGTAGGTAAAGTCTTTGTCCAGGTTGGAGTAATTACAGTTGAAAATGGTGTCCAGAAAGTTAATTAAACAAATAGCATCCTTGCCAGTGGCCTTAACAGAAATCCAAATAGGTAAAAGAACTGTCAGTAGCAGGTACTGTACCTGTCATAATTAGAACCAAGGCCTGGCTACCACAATGAGTCACAGAGAGAAGTTTTGACTCCATTTTGTCAAGTCTATGTGTGACATGAGAGTAAACAGGAGATTTCACTGTAAATCCTTATTAGAAATCCTTCAAGAGAACGAAAATATGTTAAAAATATACTGTGGAAATTTATTTTATTTATTGTGAAGGAAAACATCTTGCTGTTCTAAACTTTCTTACCTGATGATTTCCATCAGTGACATGAGTAAATATATATATTTGACTTGGTTTTGATTTGGTTTCTCTCAGTTCTGAGCAAGATTGCCCATTCATGTTGTATGCAGAGCAGTGCAGATGAGGGCACAGAACATGCCATGATTATGGTGTCAGCATTCTCAGCATGTAGCATAGCTTCAAAGGCATGTCACAAATTAAGATCATGTTTAATATACTGTTGTCTTTGCTGATGCTTGTCAAATTTGCCACCAGTGTTACAGCTTTTTTTTGGGTTTGCCACCCAGACTCTTCATGAGACTTGGTCAAGGATGCAGCATAATGGCTGTACCTTTTGAAAAAGAACGTGGCTTTTTCCATGAGTAGCTACCAATATGGTGCAGGAGGGGAAATGAGTGGAGTTCTCAGCCCTTTCAGGGAGAGGGAAATGTTTGGGCAGGAGTGGGTGCCTTCAGTGGATCAAGACTTGGTGCAAGGCTCATGTTGCAGACTGGAGTTTGGCTCCCACCACACATGCAATTAGGAGGGGGCAAGGACTTTAAAGCAGGACCTGGATCCATCTGACAAGGTGTGGCATAAAGAGTGTCTTTGGGAGGCTTCAAACCTAATAAGGACAGCTTGAAACTGGTAAGCTTCTCATGATGGAGAGCAAGCATGCACTGCTTAATCTCATGGTACATCATATTTAGACTGATTTCAGAGAGGCACACACTTAAGCTGAAGTATGAGCCATGGCAAAGCTGAAACCTAAAATCCTTTTTTTATTTTTTTCTCTTCAAGAAGCTAGTAGCTATATTTTCTTTTCCTTTCCTTTACACCAATACAAATGACCACCTGAGAAAGAGAGGACATAAACAGCAACTCATGTATTTGCTTGTATTTGCTTAGTATTCACTTGGGGAGCAGGAAAAGGGGCCTAAATCCCTTACGTTGGACAAGCTCAACACAGTAAAATCGGTGAGTTCCCAAAGCTGCTCTATCACTGCACCCATCAGAGGGCAGCAGAAACTGCAAAACAGGCCACAGATGCTTCTTCGTTGCTTTTAATTTCACACTCAGGAAGAACCAGAAGAGAAAAGAAACAATTTAGAAAAAAAAAAAAGCAATACTTCAGAAGCACTTCTGGTAAAAGCTGGATTGATGCCTCATTTTAATAGCTTTGAAGTGGTCTAGAGCACAATTTCCAACAGCAACTGTTCTGCATGTGGTAGTTGGAGCATTTGCAGTGAGGATATGAGGCCGTGTTAGTATAATGGTAATTTGGGTAAGGATATGAATAGTCATTACAATGACTGAACAAAACATTGTAGTAGAAGAAAACCAGACTGTTTTTTTAACAAATTAATGTTTGGTAGCATGGAATTTTGGATGAATGCCTTCAAATAACAAGGAAAAAAATATGCTGCAGTTTGCAACAGAGATAGGGAGGTTTGTAGTGACATTCAAATAATACCTGTTGGAAAATAAAAGGAATATTCCCTAATTTACAACGATCTAGGGATTTCCAACACTAATGCATTTTCAGAAACTGTACCCACAGTAATGCATGGCATTCAGAAACAATAAAAAGCTAGAATTAACATGGGTTACAGAGACTGTCAGCCTAGTGATCTCTCCAAATGTCTGCTGTGTCATACAGAAGGTATGAAATTAGTGGCAATAGCTTTTATCTGTAGATGACACCTTGAATTAAGTTGGGTGTAGCAAGTGAATATAAATAAATGATGCATTTATCTTGCTACTTATCTGTTTACTTAACAGTATTTTGAAGTGACAGAAGTAATTGTCAGAAAGTAAGTAAATCCAGTAAGGTTACTCTGAAATAAACACTGAAAGTATTTCTGTGAGTAAACTTTAATTACTATGCCAAAGAAACACCCATGAGGAGAGGGGTTTTAAAAGAATGGAAACAAGAGCAAAGCCCACAGTGTGTAATTATCTGTGGATTGCACACTAATCTGGACAGCTAGTTCACCTGCTTTAGGAACTTCATGCAAATTCTCACCCAAATCTGATCTGCTTTCCCATCTGAAGAATTTTTGTTGTCTAGTATGTACAGGCAGAGTTCTGGAAATGGCATAAAAGCCTGTT